ATTACCTTCATGTTTTGGGGAAAATAATCTTCATACAACAAAAATAATCCAAAATGATAATGTCAGGGTGCTACTGAATGCACCTTCACTTCCTTCACTGACTTGGGATGCCACCCTAATAATATATCAAGCTCCCATATGTACCACGTTGGTCTTGTTTCTAGGTCCTCTATTGTATTTTATTGGTCTATCTGTCTAGTACTTAACTAAAAACCCCACTCCTCATTTGGAAAATTTGCTTGAACTGTTATAGCTTTACAGAGAGAAGTAATAAGGTGAGTTCAGTATTGCTGTTATAGTTCTCCCTGCCTCCTTCTTACTAAAATTCAAATATCCTTTTCCTATTTTTACTTTTTTTCTTCTCTATAAGTTTTACTACTTCTGTATGACATCCTATGATTCAAAAGATTTTGGGGTTTGAATGTATTTTTTATTGAAATTACACATGAGTTTGGGATGATTTGTAATCTTTATGATATTGAACCCTCCCACAAAAAACCATAATACACATCCACAATGTAATCTGATTTCAGAAGTCTAAAACAAAACGTAAAAGTTTTTCTTAACATGTTTGCAAAATCTAAGTTGATCCAATTCATTTTGTGCTAAAACATGATCTGATGTTAACTGAGTCGATTAGAGACTTTGTATAAAGTCTGTGAATGTTGAAATATTTAGCTATGGAAATGTTACTGTACTTGAGGACAAGATGATGCTCCAAATTCAAAGGGGGTGCTTCATATTATGGTGCATTTGCTTAATTGAGTTTTTAATTGATATATCATATACAGAAAGTACACAGATTATACAATTTTATAAATTATCACAGAGTAAACCCACCTGAAACAACCGTATAGATCAAGAAAGATAATAAGAAGCACCCAGAAGACTACCTTGTGTCACCTCCCAAAGAAAATACTATATTGACTCCTGATACCAAAGAGTTGTTTTCGTGTGTTTAAACATTCTAAAAATATAATTGTGTATGACATCCATGTAACAATAGGAGAAACTGTGTGGGGTAGTGTATGGGAACTATCTGTACTCTCCCTCCCACATTGTAGAAGTCTAATACTGTACCAAAATTAAAAGTTTACTAAAAACGTTCTAAGGTGTGATTTATTTCATGTAACACTATTAAGTTTGTAAGGTTTACCTAAGTTGTATATAGCAGTATTTATTCATTTACATTTAACAGTATTCCATTGTATTAATATATGACAACTTATTAACCAAATTCACTCATGGTAACATTTGAGTTGCCTTTAGGTTATTTTGTTATGACTTATAATGCTGATATGTACATTTTTGTACATCTTTTGGTACATGTATCCACTCACATTCATCAAAGAAAGCTTTTGGTCACAAGAGACTTAACTATGGAATTGTCTTAATTACTTGTTTAATTCCTTATCTAAGTAATAGTATAATACAGATTTTACATTTCTTCCTGTATAAGTTTTGGTCAATTTTGTTTGGTTAGGGATGTGTCTTTCACCGAACTTGTCAGATGTATTGGCACAAACATGATAATCTCTAATTATCTGTTTTACGTTTGTAGGACCTGTAGTGATGTCTACTTTGTCATTCTTGATAGTGTTTAGCTGTACCCTCTTTTTTTTTTACCTTTAATTTGCTTTGCCTGGGATGTATCAATTTGGCATGTTTACAAAAAAATAACTCAGATTAGATTTAGTTTTTCTACTGCATGATTGTTTTATATTTTATTCATTTCTGTCTTTATCTTTAAATTTTCCTATTTTGTACTTTCTTTGGGTTTAATTTGCTGGGCTTTTTAGGGGGGTAATTTTTTGACATTGCTACTTTGATAATTAACTGTGAACATTTCCACTTTTCTCAAACATGCATATAATGCTATAAAGATCATTCTAAAGAAACCTTTAGATATCCCAAAAGTTATAATATGTTGTATTTTCATTATCAGTCAGTTCCAAATATTTTCTAATTTTTATGTAATATCTTTTTTGACGTGTTAACTATTTAGAAGTATATTTTTTCAAAATGTTTGGGATTCCCTAGTTATCTTCTTTTTAAAACTAATTTCCAGCTTATTTCCATTTGTGTGGGAATATGCTGTGACTTCGATTCTTTGCGATGTTTTAAGACTTTATAGCTTAGCATGAAGTCAGTTTCTGTAAGTGCTCCTGGTTTACTTGAACAGAATGTAAACTCTTCAGTTGTTGGATATAGCATCTTATAAGTGTAAATTAGATTAACTGTGTTGTTTTGTTCAAATCTTCTCCGTCTTCACTGACTTTTTGCCCAGTATTCTTTCAACCACTGAAGGAGATGTGTTAAAACCTCTCACTATAATTTTGGATTTTAGTTCTGTCAACTTTTCTTTCTTATAAACTGAGGCTATGATTTTTAGTACATACAAATTTATAAGTATACTTATTATTATAAAATATCTCCCTTTATATCCCTTTAACTCTAGTAATTTTTGTAACTTACTCTTTTGATATTATGTCAGTATAATAGATGATTTTGTACAAATTTCCATTCCAATTTCACTCTTTCTATATCCTTACATGTAAGGTATTTCAACTACAACTGATTTTTTTTTTAAACCTGGTCTGACAATCTTTGTCTCTTTAAATTGGAAAGTGTACTACATTTACATACAATTGATTTTGGTAGGTTCTATTATTTCTTTACAATTTTTTGTTTCTTCTCCATTCTTGCCATTCTTCATTAGTAGCTGAGGATACATCCTGCTTCATTGATTTTAGATTTCTTCATTGTCTTTTGACCACTGAGATGTGGGTAAAATTGTGTCCTCTTGCTCACCTATCCTCTATCACGTGACCAACATGTCCCAGATAAGAAGATCCTTTAGCCTCTCTCCCATTATAAGAAGACAAGAGGGACAAACTAGAGCCCAGCCAACAGCCTAGAGCTGAGCTGCCACAGTCTATGCTACAGCTGTTATTAGAAATGGGAGCAAGAAATAAATAGTTTTTGTAAGACACAGAGATTTTGAGGATTTTTTTGTATACATAGAGCCTAATAAAAGCTGATTAATCTAAAAATGGTACCAGCAATGTACTGTTTCTATAGAGAAACATAAAATATGTGGGGCTGGCTGAGTGGCTCAGTTGGTTAAGAGCTCGCTCAAGAGTGCGAGCTCTGAGCGACAGGGCCACCGGTTCGATTCCCGGCCCGAGCTGAGCTGCCACTGAGCTGCCAACAGGTGGCAGGATGACTCAGCTAAAAAACAAACAAACAACAAAAATAAAACACATAAAATATGTGTCACTGGCTTCTGGGTGGGGAACATTTTTACAGGAGACTAAAAAATAAACGACAACACATGTTATGTGGTGTCAAAATGCTTGTTGAGATTATCGCCTGTGATTACTTGGCAAAGAGAAAACTTATGTAATAAATCTATGATTTTGCCCCATTGCTGGTAAGACCGAATATTAACTAGTTAGTTGCTTTTAGCTGTATTTCTTAAGTTACTACAAGATAGAAATGAGTTCAGAAAAAAGATTTGATGTGTTTGTTAGCAGGAATGAAAGAGCCAGGAGAGAATTCAGACATTCTTGGTACTCATCTCTGTTTATCAGCCCTTGGTGTGGTTAACCTATCACAGAATAGAAAGGACATGGCTTTGGAATTAGAGAGACCTGTTTTTACATCCCAACTAATGTTAGCATTATGGTGTGCTCCATCTGTTAAGAAAAGGTGATTTGACTCTGGTTACAAACAACCCCAAAATATCAGCAGCTTACAAGGACAAAGTTCCTTTCTTACTCATGCCATATACCCAAGGTGGGTGAACTGAAAGCTTTAGTCATCATCATCATCCCATTCACAGTCACTCAAGTTCCAGACTGACGGAGTTTCCAGCTCACTGTATACTTCCATTTGGCAGGAAAAGTGAACATACAAATATATAAACATCTGGGCAATTTTAAAGAAATAGGCCAGTAAGGGTAAAAAGGCAGTCAGAAGATATTAAGTAAAAGCAGACGACCCCTGCTTTCTTAAAGCCAGTGCGAGTGATCCAGTAGATGTGAACAGGCGTGCTAAATTTTGAGCAGGATTATTAACATCCGGCTACAGTGACATATAATCCACTGTTCAAATATTTGTAAATCGCTTATGTTTCTATGTTAATTAATACTTATTAAACCCAAGTATTTTTACTAATCATCCTTTTAATTCCTGTAATGATGATTTAGGCACCCGGCCCTGTGGTAGACACTAAAGCGATGATAAAGGAGGCATAGTCTCCGACTTCAGTTTATCATCTCTAGAGGACCTCCTGCAATGCATGAACCAAAACACACTTAAATGTCAAAAAAAAAAATCAAAAACCAAGAAAACAACAAAAACTCTAAGACTCTTCTGAAGAGTTCTACTAAAGAAAAGCTTATTTGTCACAATGGTGGTATTTTGCTTTTTGTTTTCATCAGGAGGTTGTCTTTCAAGTGTCCTGACAACTTCATCCTGATTTATTCTTTACTCAAAGCTCTGGACTATAATTAATAACAAATAGTTATAGAGCTTTAAATATGTGCTCAGCATGTTCAATGCATGTTGTATCGAAGATCACATTTAACTCTAACAGAGACTTTGAGAAAGATATCATTTATCATCTTATGTTACAGATGAGAAAACCGAGGCCAAAAGGTTAAGAAATTTACCAAGTTTGCAAAGCTAAAAAGTAGGGTATCTGGTATTGGAAACCAAGCAGCTTTAATCTAAAGTCATGCTTTGTCCACTATGCTCTGGAAAGTTGATTTCCAGTTCCACTTTTAATAGATTCTAACTAGTTGCCCTTTCAGAGATTCTGATTTCTCATTTGTCCTTCAAGTTCAGAAATTCTAGAAATTTTCCCTTAAAAACAGTCTCACATTTTACTTTTTTTTTCCATGTAATAGGCCCACAAACCTGGTAGAACACATGCTTTTTTATCTAAGCATCTCTTGCTTCTTCTCTTTTTAATATTATTTATTTATTTTCTTTAGGTCTCTACAGAAGAAGGCTTGAGTCTGGCTCAAGAATATAACTGTGCTTTTTTTGAGACCTCTGCAGCCCTCAGATTCTGCATTGATGACGCCTATCATGGTTTAGTGAGAGAAATCCGCAAGAAGGAGTCCACGCCATCCTTGATGGAAAAGAAACTGAAGAGAAAAGATAGCCTGTGGAAGAAGTTAAAAGGCTCACTGAAGAAGAAGAGAGAAAACATGACATGATAGCTTTACTTCTAACTCCATTCCTTTCTCTCTCTCTCTGCATTTTATCAGTTGGACAATTCCAGATGTTGCATTCTGCTTCAATTTTCCTCTCTCTCTCTCTCTCTCTCTCTCTCTTTCTCTCCCTCTTTCAATCCTTCCCTCCCTTCCTCCCTGCCTCTCTCTCAATATCTGCCTGTAGGTAAAAGCAAGATCTACATAGTTGTACTCTTGAGATAGTTTTGTTTTGCCCTTAACAGTTGGATGGATTTTGTCAATCAGCCGGATATGCTGTTTAGTTTTTACAATATATGACTAAATAAAATTGACATTCCAATTGACTTATTTCCCTTTAAAGAGTCCAGCTTCATTTCGTATGCTGTCTGGATATAGAGGAAATATTCAGAATTGCAGACAGAATGCTAAAAGGCTCAGGGGATCTGCCTTTGCCTGATAAGACTCTGGTTGTTTGCATTTCGGGAATCTCAGTAAATAATGAGGACGCTCAGGAAACCATTCAGAGCAGGAGTCTGCTGCCTGGTCTTTCCTTAAATGTGGAAGTCGTGGTGCTTTTTCTTGAGTACTCCACAAATGACCCGTAGAGGAATTATTAATCATAGGAGCTGGTTGTGGGTCACTGGAGGGCTGAATTGAAACATTCCCATATGTACAGTGCTCCGCCCCAGTTGGCTTTGGCAAAGTTATCACAGTGAAGTCATGGGACTGAGGCAAAGGGGTATTTACTGTCTTTGTAGCGGGAAGGGAGAGGCGACCATGAATTTGGTGGTTCACATTCTTGTAAATGGATTCCCTGCTCCTTCTCAGTGGGGAGTCCCTCTTAGGACTGCTTCTCCTGCAGTGGGACCATCTGAAGAGCAAGAGATTTGTTGACTCCAGATACCCTAAATTCTTATACTGCCAAGATTTCTTATCTGCTACTGAAACCATGAAACAACTACTACCAGTCAGAGGGCTTTTTTTCTCATTTGTTTTACAATGGATCAACCTGTAAATTAAAGTTGCCCATTAAGTCATTTATCCCATTTTGTGAACTGGTTTACTCTAACTCAGGCTCAGAAAGCACCCCACCAGAAAGAACAATTCTGAATGTTTAACAGACAAGTATTAAATTGAAAGCCATGAACAGATCAGTAAGCCTGAGAAGGAATCCATCATAATAATCTTCATGGGTTAGAGGCCATTTTCATCATAAATGGAGAAAACGAAGGATAAAGAACATAGTTATCATTCAACATGCAAGCACGTATTCTTCTTTTATTCACAATGCCCCTGGCACTTGCTCATTTCTGCGAATGCAGAAATGAATCAAGGTAGCCTAACACCTAGCTAGAAGACTCACTTGGCTGAACAACAGTGGGATTATAAAATCTTAGATGAGAAGACACATGTGACAGAGTAACACAGGTACAACTGGAAAGAATTTAGAGATTATAACTTTTCAACTGGTGGACTAAAATTTCAGCTTATCCAGAATATTGTACTTGTGGGTCCTTTTACTGTTTGGGGCCAGGATCTGACTCAAAACCACAAAGATATCACTGCTCTTGAACCTAGGCCCTGGGATCCAGGCATCCCTCATGCAATCATCATTTGTTGGTCACTGCTGCTGCGCTGTCCCTTGAGATTTTTCTCAACCCTCATCTTCTATGGAGTAGGGCACACACTGCTCCATTGTCTGTTTCTCCCACCCCACATTGCCCCTAATGTCAATTCCACATATAAGGCATTCATAATTTGAGAGGAAAAACACAAAATCTTAAAAAAAAAAAGAGGTAGATATGATAGAAAGACAGATTCTTATAGTCAAAGAACTGGTCTTTGCTTCCTCCTCTTGTTGGTTTTTAATATTTCATATTCTGCCTTTGTCTTGTTAAAATGGGTTAGTGCATTATTTGCCATCTGTACTTTCTTTGTCTGCCATAGCCCTGACCCCTGGAACACTCCCAAGCCTGGGAAGACCCTGTGAATTCTGTTTTTCATCACTCCTCTGTTTGCTAGAAAATGTAATCTAGGAAACAGAGTAATTGGCACCGGGTTTTGTATGATGCACCTATGTCTTTGAACACATGGTGACTGCCCTATCTATGAATGATAATAGCATCTGGTACATTTCCTCACACAAATAAGTGTTTATAAATTTTACCTTACTGTCAGCTCCCCTGTCTTGGGCTCTAAAGATTTGTATCTCATTTCTCTCTTACTCCTTCCTTCTCTTTATATTCCTGAAGTTCTGATAAATAATTTACATAGTTCAGAGATTCCTGTGAGGTTTAGATTGGGGGAACAGTTACCAAGTCCAACCATTTCATTCTACAGAAAGAAGGAGGTCTGTCAATGATCACCTGGTTGGCAGGTGGTTGGCAGCACAGGTTTGAGATAGTTGTCACCAGCAGAGAAAAGGCAGGCTTCAAGCATTCTTTTAAACCTATGTTCTAGAAGGCTGGACCAGAAGAATAAAACCTAGGTGTTTCTGCCCAAGGGCTACTGATTCATTCTGTCATAAGAAAAACATACCAGGATCCTGTTTCTGTTCACCACACCTGAAAACTCCTAACCAGGTTGAGGATATCAAAAGCTCAGAGAAGAGAACATGTCTGCATTGCCAAGGGAGTGTCAAGAAACTGTTGAAACTAAGCAAACATGTCCCTGGTAGACAAATGTGTAGTCACCTGACACAACTTACCAAGTACTGACTAAATGCCTACTATGTACCAAGCACTTTTCTACTTTTCTAGATACCATGTGTGTGTGTGTGTGTGTGTGTGTGTATTTGGTGAGACACTAGGAGCAATTCTGAATTCAGTTTCTGCCCTTCAGAAATGTATCATCTATCTATCTTCAGGTATTTTTCATTAACTTATCTTGTAGGTCTCCATGACAAAATAGCTTATCAGATCAGAGACAAATGGCAGTCTCAAATATTACATTTTGTGTTCAGTGGGCAACAGTTGATCCTGGACATGTCTGTAGAAAATACCAGTGAGGAAAAACATGGGCAGCTGTGCCAAACATTATTCACATCACACTCAGATGTGCAAGAAATAGATAGCTGCTTTATTTCTCTATAACTCATCTGTTCTTTCTCATGAGCCCCTGACTAATGGGTAGCTAGGGGCAGGAGGGACTAAATTTTAGTTCAGTCTAGTAATTTAGTGCTAATCTGAGGCAATAATATAAGAAATATCTTTAAATAACACAATCTCTGCTGGGTGCACTCAGGCCAGTATTTGATCATTTGAAGTTCTGCTCAGTTTACTCTCCTTTTCCAAACTGCATCTGGGTATAAAGGAAAGTGAAGGCTTATGTGACCTCATGGCAGTCGAGTTCTCTTCTCTCACCTCCTAAGTCCTATAGTATACGCTGCACTCACTTTGATCTTTTTAACCAAAGGTCTTACCTGATTCTTTTTTTGTGATTTTATTTTATTGTCATAAGAACACTTGACCTCAGATCAACCCTCTTTACAAGATTTTCAGTTTCAAATATAGTATTGCTGACGGTAGATGCGATGGTGTACATCAGATCTCTCAAGTTTGTTCATAATTCTTGAAACTTTATGCCCTTTGATTAATAACTCCCCATTTCTCCCTTCTCCCAGCCGCTGGCATCCACTTGATTCTGTTTACCTGATTGGTTGACTCTGAGATGTGGTGGGGATAGATACGTGGGACCGCAATGAATAAGCAATTTCTCCTGGAGTCCATGAACTTTCCCCTTTACCTTTGGGTCTCCTTCCCAACAGACTGTCTTTATTCTGGCCCCAGGTCTCTTCCAGCCCACCTCTGCTAGCACCTCTGCCTACCCTGGGGACCCCTGTCATGCCACACACAAGCTTTTGCAGCTCTCTACCCCCACTTTTGTCTAGTTCATGTGGGACTGCTTACTCCTAGGAGCCCAGCTTACTCCCAGAATTCCTTGACAATGTGCTCTACAAGCATAGACCATGCAGAATGGAGATGGGCTGCAAACATTTGGTCACTAACCACTAGAATTTGGTCACTAACCCCAGTGCTCATCTCAAACTTCCCTGAGGCTATTTGTAAGTGACTTCCCACCATTAATTAGCCAGAGGGCCTGGGGTGAAGGTTTAAGATGAGGGTCCTGCTGTAAAACCCTTTTGTTTTATTAGAGCCTCTCCTCCACAAACCATCTGCTGGAAGGGGAGTAGACACCATGCTTTTCCTTTCTCTAAGTAGCCCTGCAACAACATGCTGGCATCTAAAATAAACCAGAACACAATTCAGTGGTCAAAGATGGCAAATGACTTCCTTGTTTTACGGGGCTTCCGTTCTTGTGCTGAAGCACCAAAACACATTGCTTCAAAAGATGTAAACCCATGTAAACAAAATATATCTACATGATAGAAAGCCATGGGTCAAGAAAAATGTAAACATAGGTGAATGTATACAAAAAAATATTTCAAAACATAATGATCCCTATTCTACATGCAACATCTAAGACTAAACCTTTTTACCATCTTTAGAGGAAAGAAAATTATAGGTATTTTGGTTTGGGTCTTTACACAACACTAAGAGATACTCTAAAACCTACCTGGCCTAAATCCTTTACCATCAGCTTGCTTTTGAACACTTCTACATGGCCTGAGTTTTTCCCATTAAAGTTTCTTTTTGGGGCTAGATAGCAAAGTATAGTCATTCTTTCATTCTTTCAGGCCATCTAGACACTATTAAATATAAATATGAGGAACTAGAAAATTTAGCCATCTGATTAAAATGTAAACAACATAAATAGATTTGGTATATGACCTCATTTCTGCTTTTAAAAGTAGAATGGAGGGGCCTATGATGGAAGGGACAAAGAATGTGTGAATTTTTGTGGGTGAAAACAAGGATCTAGACCAGATATCATTTGAGGAGGGCATCATAGGTCAGCATAGCCTACTGTTCTTGGAAACTCTGGACATATATGGTAGAACAAATGAAGCAGAGGACATAGGGTGAAAGGAATACTAAGGGGAATACAGGGATTCTGACCACCAAAGCAGGGTAGGAAATTAAGAATGTAACACAAAACTCACATGGATAGACTATATCCTACTTGATTCACCCTTTTGCTTTCATCTGGCTCTGCCTCTAAACTAATCTTTGTATCTTAAAATAAGACAAGTTCAATTAAAGAATAGATAAATAAATAAATAAATAAATACATACATACATACATACATACATACATACATAAAATGTTTGTGCCTCAAGCAATCACATAAATCATAATGACTTAGTTCCCTCCTAGTGATGTAGACGCTGAGGACCAGAGGAAAGAAAAACCGCCAGGCATGTGAGGTCAGTCATGTCACCTC